TAAATGGTGGAGGATTGCTCTCGAATTTGGAAGAATTCTGAGAGTATGAACTCATAATCTAAACGCTTATTGCCTTCGATTGGGGGATCGACCATTCTCGATTCTTATTCTGTATTGTTGCTCCTACTTCAAACTTTATAAGAGATGGTTAAACCGACATTGAGATCTCTAGAATCTTCGTTATTAGAAGTTCGAAGAGAAATAGTGGAGGATTGCTCTCGAATTTGGAAGAAATATGAGAGTTGAGAGTAGGAGACCCATAATCTAAACGCTTATTGCCTTCGATTGGGGGATCGATCTTTCTCGATTTTTATTCCGTATTGTTCTCCTACTTCAGACTTTATAGGAGGAGATTAAACCGACATTGAGAGCTCTAGAATCTTCGTTATTTAGAGATCAAACTCTCTGGATAATTTTTCGGAGATATCAACTTCTATCATAGCCTTACCGACCTTGGCTTTGAATACTAGTCGTTGGATGTGATGATCCGTGCATGTTCGTTCTAGATCATAGCAAATTTTGGATGTGAGATTTGTGTTTGAAGGATTTTGCTCGGATGGTCACCGTAGATGCTCTGATTCTAATTAGAGTGACATTTCTGTAAATATTCATTCTAAAAGAAAATGATAAACATGGAGTGAGTAAAACTTTGTAAGTAGCCTACTAGTAGGTTCTTAATGGCTACCTTAAGCTAGGATATTACTTCTTGTTAGGTTTTCAGGATCTTAGAACTTAGAGGTCATCGTGTCATGTATCATATACTGATCGTGAAAACCTTCCCCTAAAATAACCTTCAACTTTCTCCCCATGAACACATGAGTGGTGTCGTCATAATCATGTAATCCTATTGGTAAATCGTGGTGCAGGACATCTCGTTTAGATGATGGGAAAGGTAGGCTTGTCATAACATCTAGCTCATGATACATATTGCAGGACATCCTACCTAAAGAGGAATAGGGGCCTTTTAGTACACATCGATGGCAGATAATGGTTATTTATGGGTATGGATCCTAGCAACTTATTTAGCATGTTATTCACATAGTTCTAGGTACTTGGTACATGGATTATTGATGAACCTAGGTTTATACGTAATGTCATGGGTTAGACTTTAGGAGTTGAGGTTTTAGCTTAGGAAAACATTAGAGGGTAACTTAACATGGACTAATTCGTGTGTAAACCTACTAGCACTTTGAGGACCTCTTTCCTTCACAAAACTTATGGGTAAACTTATTTAGAAGGTGCAGGAAAAAGTTTGGAAATGAATAGTGGACTATAGTTCTTGAATTCAAGGTAAACCCATGAACACGATACCCCAAAACAAAAAACTTGTATCTCTCGATTGGGTACTCGATTAAGTTTACTTCTTGCCCCTAATAGTCTACCCTAATTCATAATTTATAGATGGATTTTCAACTATCATTGAAACATCTAGAATTTCTATAATTTCATTCTCGATTTTTCTGAATCTTCTGCCAGAAAAGTCTTCTCCGATGGAGCCTTCCTTTTTTAAGCACCTTGTAATTATTATTCTATAAAAAATTTAATGATTCTGGAAGTTTATAAAAAATAGAAAAAGTACCATTTTCTCAATGTTTTTTCAATTTTACTTGTTCTTTGCTATTAGATACAGCCTAATAGGGATTATACACTGTCTCTTATTGGAGACCTTGAGCGTTGCAAATTCTCCTCTCCTTTGAAAACTTTCGGTCATCGAAAGTGCTTATTCTAAAATAGGTCAGGGTACAAGGTTCTTATTTGCCTTCTGTTTCCTAAGTGGCTTCTTGTACTCTATGATTCTTCCATAGGACCTTAACAAGAACGATTTCATTGTTTCTCAATCTTTTGACTTTCTTGTCTATTATTTGAATCGGGTCTTCTTTATACGTTAGGTCATCTCTCAAGAAGAGAGTTTCATAAGCCAGTACGTGTGAAGGATCTAGGGTATACTTCCGTAGCATGGATACATGAAAGATATTATGTACTGCAGACAAATTTTGGCATTGTCCCATTCTATAAGCCATAGATCCAATCCTTTCTAATATCTCAAAGAAACAGATAAACCTAGGGCTTAGCTTCCCCTTTTTACCCTACCTGAGCATCCCTCTCATGGGGTGCTACCTTTAGGAACTACCTACAATTCCATGTCCTTGCGCCTTAGGTCTGCATAGCTTTTCTCTCGGCTTTGTGCGGTTTGTATCCTAGCTTTAATCTTCTGGACTGCTGCGTTAGAGAAAGATCTAAAGGTCACGTGTTTGATCCAATTTCACAGCACTTGGTTCACATTGCATAATTTGACTCTAATATTAGTGATTATTTATGTTTAAAATATAATGAATAAATGGAAATACCTTTACTTATGAATTTTAAATTTTAGTATTAGTGAGGATAGCTCGGTTGGGAGAGCGATTCCACGTTCATCGCACTTGGTTCATGTTGCATCGTTCACTGCATTAGCGATTATTTCTTTTTAAAATCTCAACCTTAATGATTGTGGGGATAGCTCAATTGGGATAGCGTTAAACTAAAGATTTGAAGGTCACGTGTTCGATCCAATTTAAAGGTAACGTGTTTGATCCACAATTATTTCTTATTAAAATCTCAATCTCAATGAATTAGTGGAAGATTTGTCACGTTTTTTATCCAACTGGCATAAGTTGACTATGTTGCATAACTTGACTATTCAATCTAAAACATGTGATTATTCATTTTTTATGTTATCTGGGATGGATTAGTTGGAAGGTCTTGTGTTCGATCTACATTCATTGCACCTTATAGTTTAATAATTGATTATGAAGTTTTTTTTTTAATCTTAGCGGGATAGCTCAGTTGGGAGAGTGTCAAACTAAAGATTTGAAGGTCACGTGTTTAATCTTCACGTTCATCGCACCTATTTTCATTTGCATAAGCTAACTATTCAATAAAAAATTAGTTATTATTTATTTTTAAAATTTCAATAAATAATGAATTAGCATGGATAGCTCAGTTGGGACTGAATATCTGAAGGTTACCTGTTTAATCCACGTTCACCCCACTTGGTTTACGTTGCATAAGTCCATTAAGTTGCATAACTTTATTCAATCTAAAACTAGTGATTATTTCTTTTTAAAATATAATGAGTTAGCAAAAATACCTTTGCTTAATGATTTTTTTTTTCAAATATTAGCAAGGATAACTCAGTTTTGAGTGCGTCGGACTGAAAATCTAAAGGTCACGTGTTAGATCCACGTTCACCGCACCTGATTCAAGTCACATAACTTGACTTCTGACTATTTAATTTAAAATTAGTGATTATTCCATTTTAAAATATCAATGAATTAGCTAAATACCTTGCTAATGAGTTTTTCATTTTTAATGTTAGCGGGGGTAGCTTAGTTGAGAGAGCGTCACTGAAGATCTCAAGGTCACGTGTTTGATCCACGTTCACCACACCTGATTCAAGTTGACTAAGTTGCATAACCTGACTATTCAATCTAAAATTAGTGATTATTTCTTTTAAAAATCTCAATGAAGTGGTGAAAATATCTTTACCGATGAATTTATATTTTTAATGTTAACGGGGATAGCTCAATTTGGACAGCGTTAGTGAAGATCTGAAAGTCACGTGTTTGATCCACATTCACCGCACCTAATTCAAGTTGACTAGCTTCATAACGTGAATATTCAATCTAAAATTAGTGATTATTTCTTTTTAAAATTACTTGACTATTTAATCTAAATTTAGTGATTATTTCTTTTTAAAATTTTCGAATTTTCATTTTCAATGTTATAGGGGATAGCATAGTTGGGAGAGCGTAATATTGAAGATTTGAAGGTCACGTGTTCGTTCGACCTTCACCACACCTGATTCAAGTAACATAACTTACTATCTTATCTAAATTTAGAGATGATTTCTTTTTAAAATTTCAATGAATTAGCATAAATAATTTTAATCTAGAATTTTCATTGAATTTTCATTTTAATGTTAGCCTAGATAGCTCAATTCAATTGGGAGTGTCTCTACAGATCTAAAGATAATGTGGATTTCTAATTCTTTAATTGACTATAAATGCACTGTAAGACATTTAGTAAAATGACTCATTTTATTGCGTGGAACAATAAAATTGATCTTCAGTAGAATAGTCAATACATTCTACTTTCAATGTTACTAAGTTGTGTCCCTTTGATGTAGGTGATGATTTTTCTTATTTGAGGACGAATTCTGAAGAGGGGGATGATGATAAGAATCACGGTGTACATTCTACTTTCAATGTTACTGACTTGAGTCCTTTGATGTAGGTGATGATTTTTCTGATTCGAGGACGAATTCTTTTGAAGAGGGGGATGATGATAAGAATTACGGTGTTCCAACTAGACCTATTACACAACCCAAGGCCAAGAAGATTCAACAAGCATTCATACTTCATCTACAAAATTGGATAGGCTAGGTTCAACCATCATTTCATGTGTTACAAGATGATTAGTTTGAGTCAAGACCATTGGAGATTGAAAAGTAAATATTTGCATTGTTGAAGTTTGCAAGCATCATTTCATGAATGATTAGAAAACTTTATTTATTATTTTAATTTCATAAAGTTTGTAATGCTCAAATTGACTTTGTCTTCTGTGGATATTTTGTTAGTGAAAGAGGGATTTATTGAATGATCGATGAGAAGATTGATATTTGAAGAGCAAGAATGCTCTATATATATACAGAGAATACAAAGAGATATCTAGAAAATCTACCTAGAAATCAGAAAATTTGGTAACAAAGCAGTAAACAGATTAAATCAAAACAAAATGTAATCAAATCAAGAGTAAATCAAATAAAAAACAAATCGACTCCTAACTATCAAAAGATTTAACAAAATACATCAATCTAAACAAACACTAATCTTTAACACTCCTCCTAGTTTAGATGATGCAAACTCCAAGTTTTTTTCTGAAATTTTCAAACTTGCTAAGTGACAGAGGTTTGGTAAGGACATCTGCAATTTGATCTTCAGATTTGCAATAGCAAAGAGTCACATCACCACTCTTTTGAACTTCTCGAACAAAGAATAACTTGATGTTAAAATGTTTAGTTTTTGCTCCAAGTTATCAACTGAATTATTGGAGATTGCAATAGCAGCTTGGTTATCAACGAGTATCTCAGTGCTGTGTTTTTGCTCCAAGTTTAGATCCACGAGAATTTTCCTTAACCAGAGAGCTTGATTAACTGCGGCTGTTGCAGCTATCAATTCTACCTCACCAGTGGATTTAGCTACAGTTTCTTGCTTTCTTGAGCACCAAGAGAACATGCCTAATCCGAGGCAAAAACAGTAACCAAATGTACTCTTCATGTCATCGATTGAGACACCCCAATCACGATCAGAGAAACCAATTAGTTTCTTTTCCTTGTGCTTTAAGAACTTCACTCCATAATTCCAGGTCCCTTTGATGTATCTGATAACTCTCTTTGCAACTTTCATGTGAGTCTCATTGGGACAATGCATAAATCTGGAGAGAATACTTACAGCATTTACGATATCAGGTCTGGTTGTTTTAAGTACATCAGGCACCCTACCAAGCTCCGGAACTCAACTTCAATAACTTTGGCAGAACCATCATCTTTGACCAGTTTCTCCTTTTGATTCATAGGAGTATTCATTGCTTTGCAATCCTCCTTCTGAAATTTTTTAAGTATCTCTTTTGCATACTTTCTTTGAAAAATGAACACTTCATCTTGGGTTTGCTTGATCTCAATGCCAAGGAAATATGACATCATTTCGAAGATCTTTTTCATTTCCAGTTTGAACTTGTTAATTTGCTTAGGATTGCTTCCTGTAATTATTAAGTCATCTACATAAAGAGAAATGACTAAAGTATTTGTACCTTCATGCTTGTAGACATACAGTGTGAGTTCAGAGACTTTTCTGAAAGCCAAGACCAACCAAATGATCATCAATTTTACTGTATCATGCTCGCGGAGCCTGTTTAAGACCGTATAAAGCCCTTCTCAGCAAGTAGACTTTATCTTCATTGCCTCTGCTCACAAAACCTTCAGATTGCTCGACAAAAATTTCTTCTTGCAAGACTCCATTTAAGAATGCAAATTTAACATCTAACTGGAATACTTTCCAACTCTTTTGAGCAGCAATAGCAAGCAACAATCTTACTATATCAAGCCTAGCAATAGGTGCAAATGTTTATGAATAGTCAACTCAAAAAACATGCGCATATCCCTTCACAACAAGTCTTGCTTTGTATTTATTAACTGAACCATCAGGATTTAGCTTTGTTCTGAATACCCTTCTTACTCCAATTACCTTTCAGTTTAGAGGTCGATCAACCAACTTCCATGTTTTATTTTTCTCGATCATCGAAAGCTCCTCCTGCATTGCAGCCATCCAATGTTGGCTTTTTTTTGCATCATGGAACCCTGTAGGCTCACAAATAGCTACATTACACCTTTGATAAATATCAGACAGTAACCTTGTACCTCCCACAGGTGCATCATCAACCAAATCATCTTGTTGTTCATTTTCAGACAATTTTAGTCGTTCATCTTCAGACTCTTCTAACATGCCAACAAAGATGCTAACTTCTGACTTTTTGTCAAGCTTATCACGCTTGACCTGTGGAATGTAAGTGAAGCAAAGACACCCAAATATTCTAAGGAACTTTAAAGAATGTTTGTAACCATACCAAACTTTCACTGGTGTCAGGTCCTTCACAGCTTTTGTTGAAATTTTATTTTGCAAGCACATAATAATGTTTGCTGCTTTTCTCGAAATACATTTTGGAAGATTATTCTCATGAAGCATGCATCTCGTCATCTCCATTATGAATCTATTCCTCCTTTCACTGATGCCATTTTGTTGAGAAGTGTATGATGTTATCAATTGATGTTCAATTCCAATTCCAGTCTCTTCACAAAACCTGTTAAAAGTTCATGAAGTGTATTCCTTGCTATTATCTGATCTTATGATCTAAATCAAGCATGCACCTTCATTCTCAACTTTGGCTTTGAATTTCCAAAATACACTTGCAACTTTTGACTTTTGCTTCAGCAAGAATATCCAACACATTCTTGTTAGATCATTAATAAAAGGAATGTAATAAAGATTACCATTTAATGATCGTGTTTGCTGAGGACCACAAAGCTCAGTATGAACAAGTTGCAGTTTTTTCGAGGCTCTCCATGCCTGTTTAGGAAAGGGTTGCCTATGTTGCTTCCTAAAATTACAAGTACAGCAAGGAGGCATGTCCTTACCAATGTTAGGGAGTTCTTCTACCAGCTTCTTTGATGGCATCGGAAGCAAACCTCGATGATGAAAGTGTCTAAGTCTTTTATGCCAAATCTCAGTGGCACTAAATCTGGATATAAAGGCCGTCAGATTTAGAGCAAAGCTTTTTCCTTCCATTTTGACATTGAACAAGTCTTTGCCACTAGCATCTTTGATCAAGCACTGTTTATTCTTAAACAACACTTTATAGCCTTTATCAAGTAACTGACCAACGCTTAACGGATTTTGATCAATTTTAGGCACAAATAAAACATCTGAAATAAATTTTGTATCTTCATAGCTTGTTATAGCTACTGTGCCTTTTCCCTTGACTTCCAAGCGTTCACCATTGCCAATCCTCACTCTCTTATCTTCGATGTCTCTTAATTTCTCAAAAAATTCCTTGTTATATGTCATGTGATTTGTGCACCCACTGTTAATCAACCAGCTCTCGCTTGATTCTTTGCTTGAGGAAGAATTGACCATAAACAATTGATCTTCTTCTTCTTCTTGATCAACTACCTGTGCATCTACTTCTTTCACCTGATCTTGGGATTTGCAGATCACAGCTTCATGCCCAAGTTGATTGCATTTGGAGCAGAAGGCATCAGGTCTTCTCCAACACTTGTATGGTGGATGACCTTTCTTCTCACAATGGCGGCAAGGTGGATAGGATTTTTTGAAATCTCCTCCTTTTGTCTTTTGAAAATTGGTAGATGGATCTCCATTCGTCGATTGGTTTTTAAAAATTTTCTTGTTTTTATACCGTCTGTTGTCTTGATGCTTGACATGTAAGGCACCTTCAATCACCCCTTCTTGCCTCATAGACCTTCTTTGCTCTTGTGCTTGTAAAGCATTCAAGAGCTCTGTAAGAGAAATCTTTGACAAGTCTTTGGTGTTCTCTAGAGTAGTAATGGTGACTTCAAACATCTCTGGAACAATGACTAGCAGCTTTTCAACGATCATGGAATCATTTAATACAGAACCAAGCAATCTCACCTTATTGGCAATGCTGAGAAGTTTGTTAGAGTACTCTTTCACCGATTTAGACTCCATCTTCTGCAACTCGAAATCCCTAATCAAATTCAAGGTTTTCATTCCAAGAATCCTCTCATCTCCTTCATATTCGGCCATGAGATAATCCCAGATTTCTTTGGCTGTTTTGAGGGGCATTATTCACATGAAGATCATTTAAGTCTTTTTAATCTAAGATACTATTGAACTTGACCATTAAAGTTCCTCTCAAACTTAGGTAAAGTTTAAATATAATTGGTGACAAAAGATGAAACTATAAAATAAAAAGAAATAAGAAAGTAATATTCCATTTCAGTGAATCAAACCAGAATCTCCTATGTGAAAGCCAAATATCAAAATCGTTGGACAACAATGAATTTATAGTGTAGTTGTCTTGGAGTCTTTTATCTAATCGCTAAAGAGTTTTACTATGATGTTTTGGGTACTGTCTAACTCTTCGACACATCCTTTCATGTGTGTGATAAAATTCTTAGAGTTACCGAGACGTTTCGAGTTGTTCGATCTTGTGGTTCTTTCTTCAAAAGAGTCAACATCAAACATTAGGTCTTTGATTGGCAACCCATCTAGAGGAGTGTCGATTGCATTGATTCCATCAACAGTCTTCCCATGAGTTTATGGTGCATGACCCATTTTTTATACCATTCACCTTCGAGCGCCACCATAGTTTTGCATCGTCCATGAGATGCATTGCGACCAACGTAGCTCTTAGGTCCTATGAGCAAGTTCCAGTAACCTTCAAGTATTGTTCTACGTCAAAAATAAAGCTTTTAAATTCCTTATCATCCCAGTTTCCATTTAAGGGGCTGTGTTCTTGGATTTTAAGTTTGTTAAGCCCACATGAACTTGGCTTGAGATGTGGTTCTCTATAGCCCAACTTGTCAAACTCACTCGGGTGCTCATCTCAACCATGATGTCGTTCAACAAGAGAGACCTCGAAAACGACTAGATTATCGCATTAATCATTTGCATCATCTCAACCCCAGTTGTTGAAATTGAACCAAATATCTATAGCAAAACTCTAACAAAGGTACCAAGTTCATAAAAGTCTTTTTAATCTAAGATAGAAATGGTAAAATAAAATGAAATAAGAAAATAATATTTCATTGCTGGGAATCAAACCCGGGACTCCTAACTTAGAGAAAAATGAAATAAGAAAATAATAAGAAGTTCAGATGTTGGGTTTAACCCCACCAATAGAGATAAATCACAAGATTATTTTTATTTTGCATGCCACAAACAGATGTCATGCGGCTCAGCCTGAGCTAGTTGAATTCTACAGATAGCAAAATGACATGTTCACAGTCGGGTTTATTTGACCTGCAAAGACTCTTATCAGTGATCACTCAAATGCTTGGCAAAGACACCAAGCCAACACCTCTACTGAAGAAGGGAGACAAAAACAAACCACTAAAGCAACACATGTTCACGTAAAAATACCATCCAGATGGATGAAGAGAAGGGTCGACCACAATAATTTCAAAGCAAATAGAGAGTTATGATAAGTTAAGGTCATATCAACTTTGAGTTCAAAGCAACAAGAACCAAAGACTGGTGCGAAAATTCTATGGACTAGTCGAAGTTATCCCCTTTTACTTGCTTTCATCTTAGATAGGCCTTTACTATTATTGTTGTGCCAATATGGGGTGTATGATTAGTCCTCAAAATCATATATACACCCATTAGAATTAAAATGTCCTAAAATGTACTATAGGAGAACTTGACCAGTTGTTGTTTGTTCACTTTTAGCTTATAACATTGCTCTATTTGAAATTGTTTTTAACGTATTTCCTCGCTCACGTTTTCTAAAATATTTATTCTAAACGTGATTCGAGCATACACTGATATTGTTTGTTCAGTCTAAATTTTGCATGGTTGACTTGTTCATTAGATTAGAACAAATGTCACGTAATCATTGTCTCACTACTGCAAGAGTGCGATTGTGACACTTGTCTTCCGTTCAGTTGTGGGCTGCATCTTCTGACTAGTTACGTGAGTTTGACTTGGAGCATACATGTAGGTTGAAAAAGAAATGGTTGAATGCGGACTACGAATAAGGGTTGGGCCATGGAAGGTTTTTTTTTTTACGACATGGAATTTGGGTTAGTGAGTCTTAAATTTGAGTTCGTTTGAAAAATTTTGGTTCATTTTTTAGTTTAAATGAACCCAAATTAAACCTACTAGTTCCTTCTTCCTTGCATGACTCACTCCTATTCTCTGTTCTGCCTCTTCTTGCTCTCTGAAACTTCTTTAAAGACTATTCTTCACCGATTATTTGGGAGCATCTTCCTTAAAAGGATTGTGACCACAGATGACCTATGTAGAAAATTTGTACCTCTTTCCTAAAACCTTTAGCAGACAACATACCCAACACAGATGCACTGACCAGATTGCGCTACATCTCATCTCACCCTCCCGGAGCATATGGATCCACCCAATCGATGAACACTCAAACCAAACTCGTCCATCTTTTTTGGCACAGGGATTAAAAAATAATAATTTTTATTCTTTCTTATTTCTCAAAGATTAAAAAAAAAAAATAATTATCCTCTCTCGAATATGTTCGTTATTTGATTATTTTTTCTTGAGTATATTTTAAGTGAAACACATTCTCTACCCAAGTAATTGCAAGAGGCAAGCTTTTCACTAAGAGGAATCAAAGTCCCAAAGTATCGACGTCCTTAAGTGTCAATTTTTATTCTCCTTCTCAACATAAATTAAACTTATTTTGGTGAAGATATCTATTTATAAAAGCAAAATATCTCAGAGTCACAAAAATACTGAGATATAGATACGAGACATAAATATGATAGTAAATAGATATGGTAACATGTCATTTTTAAAAAACTAGGACACCCATGTGACAATGATACATTAATTAAAAATTTCAAAAAATTTATCAATTTTATAGTAGAAATAAATTCATATAAATAAGTTTATATATTTGTATACTTAAAAAAAAGCTTAATGTACGTTTCACTCTCAAAATATATTCAAAGTCAAGTGTCTGATACGAAATGCTGGATTATAAATTTGTAATGTATCCATTGTATTAACAAGTATTCAGTACATGCCCAACACGTGTTAGATTAGTGACACTAAGTTATTCTCATGCTTTCTTTACACCCATTTAAAGTAGTTTGAAAACTAGCACGTCAAATATTATAATTGACTAACTACAACTTCAATTTTGTCCTTTAAGGATGGTTTTGACCAAAAAGAAATAAAATCCTTAATTTAGTACATGGTTACAAAGATGGACATGAGAATAAGTTATTCTCATATGGAAAGAGATTTAAATGTAAGTTATATCTGATATCCTCCTTTAACCAATTATTTAGTTTTATTTAGTGTGTTTTAGAAAGATACGTCCATCAATAGCAAANAAAAAAAAAAAAAAAAAAAAAAAAAGAAGAAGGATGCACTAAACGTAATGTAACGATAGGAGTAAGACATGTTCATGAAACGTTATGGTTTGGTTACATATCGAAGTGCTATGGGTATGACAAATTGATAAAAACGATATGGTCACGAAGGATTCATAAAACAATACGATTAGGTTATGGATAGAAAAGGATAGGATTATGATAGATTGATAGAACGAAAGCGTTAGGATACGTTCCTGTAACGTTATGACTAAGGTACGTTCAGGTAACGACACAACTGTGATATGTCTAAGGACGTTAAGGCTATGATAAGTTAGGGAAGGATATAACCACAAAGTGTTTACGATATGATATGATTATGATACGACATGTAAAGGACGAATATATATCCAACAAGTGTCAAAGAGAGACGTGAGAATAAATTATTCTCAAGCTTTCTTTACATCGGTCAAAGAGTATTTGATAAGCTTTCAAATTAAGGGTTTTCTTTTTTCTTATTCCTTCTTTCTCCCTTTTCACGTTTAATTTTTTTTTTTTTAAATAAAAAAAAAAGTTAAATGTGAGAATGAAGAAGTTAGAAAGAAGAAAGAAATGAATGTAATAAAACTTTTCTGTCGATAGGAATGAAAATGGTGAATGGGTCCTTGACGATAGTCGACCGCTATACTCTGGTTTTGGATGTAAGTGATGATTATCGGCAATATGAGTTGGGTCAATACCACACCGTTATCAAGAGGAAGTAAAGTAGATTAGAATAGATCAAGTGATCAATTTGTTGGGTGTACTATAAGAGGCACACAAGGAAGAATGTTGGATATAACTACTCTTTCACATCTAAGGGATGAGTCTCATAGATCCAACTATAATATCAAAGAAACTTCTGGTGGTAGTGATTGCTTGCATTGGTGTCTCTGTGGTATCCCAGACACATGTAACATGATTTTTCTTGCTCAAATATAACTTCATTTGTATTAAAAGTTCACTTTTGAGTAATCCAGGTCCAGGAAGGCTTCTTAATTGGCAGCCTCTAGTGAAGATGATCACTTTGAGGTGGGTTTGTTAGTGAAGATGCAATTATATAATCAGGGTTTTATATCAATGGTTCTATTTATATTTATAAATGAAATTTGTTGTGTATTTTTTTGGAAATTCAACAATAATCATCGGTTATTTAGTTACCATTCTAAAGAAATTCAACTTTCAACCTTTTGTGAATGCTCAAAGCTACTTGCAATGTACTGTCGATTATGATTCATAATACTCACCGACTTGAAAATGAGGTTTGTTCATGTTTGAAAATGTGACAAACCAAAAGACAAGATGCTAATTAATATTGTTTGTGAATGTTGTTGTGAATTCTTCATCTTTGAATACATATTTTGGTTGGCTTATGAATTTTTCCATCTTTTAAAAATATTAATTTTTTTAGTTCGGGCCTAATTTCATAATAGGCGATTGAATCACAATATTGCAATATTTTAAGTTACTTTAAAGATTAAAGGTCGATGAATAAATTAATTACCGCAAGTTCTTTTTATGCATCTTATTTTGATCTAGCACATAAATGCTTCCTAATTATTATTTATTTTTTTATGAATTAGGTTATGAAGATCATTTGAATTTTAAACGATTTAATTCAAATAATATTTAATAACTAATCATTTTAATATTTATACTCAAATATACTAACAAGTACTAGTAACACTAGTCTCAATGACTTAAAGAATACAACTATTATCTCGAACTATAAAGAAT